AAAGCTTCCAGAGCGGCATATCTGTGACCGGACGCGTCCGGTGGCAGGCGACCGGACGCTGGACAGCGTCCGATCAGTGTTTTGCCGATTCAACGGTCGGGACGACCGGACGCGTCCGGTCAAGACGATTCAGCGTTCGGTCAGTAGCAGTTTCGTGGGAATTTGACCACAACAGCTACTTTCTCAGTGGGGCTTATAAATACAACCCCAACCAGCCATTTGAGTAAGGTGGAGCTGAGGAAACATACCAAGGGTGTTGATACATCATTTTAGTGATCTCCACTTGCATAGAGCTTAGTGATTCATTAGGTGATTAGCATAAGTGCTTTGCAAAGTGCTTAGGTTGATTAGACCATCGCCTATGCGCTTGCTCTAGGTTTATGCCTAGTGCTTAGTGAGGTTTTCATACCTCTTGCCACCCCGTGCTTGCGAGCACAAGTGTTGTACATTGGAGGGGCTTGAAGTCTTGCGAGATCACACCAACCGCGTTTGTGGTGTGGCCGCCACCATGTACCGGAGGGAACAAGGCCCGCGGCGTTTCGGCCGGAAGCTTGATAGTGAAGACGGCGGGGAGCATCCGGGAGAGGCTTGCCAGAGGACACGTCAGAGACCCACTTGCGCGTGGGGAAGGCCTGAGGCTATCCATGGAGTTACCCGACCAGGAGCTTGGCCCTTGCGAGGGATTCCTTGCGAGGGGCTCCAACGAGGATTAGGGGAAAGCTTGCGCGCTTCTCGATACCTCGGTAAAAATATCGGAGTCGTCGACGGGAGTTTGCATATCTCTACCTTGCTCTTTAGCTTCCGCATTTACATTGATTACATTACTCCTTTGCGGTAGAGATAGCAACACAATTAGCAAAACCGTAATTGCACATTTAGATAGTTTATCTTTTGCATAGGTTTTGCTAAGGATGGAAAAAGAGGCCTTAGTTTAGAGTTAGATTTTTAAGTTGCCTAATTCACCCCCCCCCTCTTAGGCGTCATGGTTCCTTCACCGGTGTTGCCAGACAGTCCCGAATGTGCTGCTCTGAGAGCCGATATGGAAGGAAATCGACTATTTCAACATATTCATAAGAATAAATCAATTAAAGCTCATGGAATCATAGAAGGTAAATCGGTTATCGCTCAGGATAGATCTTGTTATTTAGACAAACATTAATCAATGGCAAAAGGATGTCAACAATGATTAATTTATGCTAAGCCAATGACTGCAAGTAATCAATCCCTTTTCATATAAAAGAAACAGCTCATCATCATTTAACCATTTAATAAAGATAAATCTAATGAACATATTAGATCTCATCTACCGCTATGACCAGTGGGGCATGAGGCAGAATCATGTAGGCCGTAGAAACAACAATAGATTCGACGACCCTAACTTATTACTAATATCAGTGGGGCAGGAGGTAGAATCATGCAGGCCATAATACAATAATAAGATCATGGGACTAACACATCTTTGAACCTATCTTTAGTTCAACGGTCTCATGACGTGAACTGTTTGTCAAAGCACTCGATATCGGCTAAAACAGCTGATTCAGGCATAGCGCATAGTTAAGGTCATGCCCTATCATGAACAAATCTACCAAGTAACGATCTCCACTCCACGATGCTAACAGTGGGGTGTGAGGCAGAATCACACAGGCCGTGATAATGGGCCATGAAACGGTTTTCGTTAGCCAACAGATCTATTCAAGAGAAAACATGCCTTAACCGCACACTATGCGCGATCAAGATTAACATAAAAGGGCCAATAAAACATAACTCATCGTTTAGGATGCAGATTAAATCAGTTTAAATTAACAAACGATGGGTTAAACAGGATATAAGACCGATCTAGATCAATCCCAATCGAGGGAAGTGATATTGCTGTAATTAAATAAATAATGGAAGTAATAAGCAATATCGGTAACTTAATGAATCTATCCGAAGGAACGCCACCCTTAGATAGAGCTGATAACTTGACCTTAATCTAGTTCAAGTAGTGGAGGTCGACCGGATCGATGCAGCCTTACTTGAACTAGACAAGAGTCGATAACTAGCTTATACAAGAGTCGTAGTGGAGGTCTACTGGATCTATGCAGCTGTATGAACAGAAGTATAAGTCATGACGGTACTTACAGACAAGTAGTGGCCTAAGAGAAAACATGAATTCTACTTAAGCACGACTCATTACAATTTCTTGGCCTAAGAGAAAATATTCCTAATTTAAGATAACTTGGACTCTAATCTTTCCCTTTTTGTAGAGTCCAACATGCCTTATCCCAACACCGATCGTAGCCTTTGTCGTTATCTGCTGGCGCTATCTAAAGAAAGCCGATTCCAGTGTTGCATTCGAATCAGCTGATACCGACCTGCACGCAATTGATTCCTTGATGACATGATCTTGGAAGCCTTGAGTCCCTGTGATTCTTCTTCCCAAATTCTAGTGTAAACAATATCTGGTCCCAAAAGCATTGTTTCACCTTGGTCAAAGCAGCATCAGGATAAAGCTAAAATTGTCCTTTTTGATCCATTGAAGTATTTTCTTGACATTTGCTCAATATGAACCCTTCATAATTTTTGTTCATGAGTTTAATTAGAGTTGTTTGAGCAAGGTTGCAAGATTTGGTTGACATCCCATGTTATAGTACACTTAATAAAGGGATTCAAACAAGGATATAATTCATCATTCCATGTGACTTTTTGATTCCAAACTTCATGAAACTTTCCCACTAGTCAAGATGGATGCATGTTGATGTAATGTACATGAAATAAGCATGTTTAACATTACTCTTGCGTAATCTTAACAAGGGTACGTATGTAAGCAAAGTGTATTGTCCAAGTCCAAGTTGGGGCTTATTTTCATAGGTTTGACCTCAATACCTTCATCATTATTTCCATATTATGAAGTAGAGATCATAATCATTGCTTGACATATCCTACTTAAGTCCAATTTCGCTGCTTAACTCGTGACTAACACCTAGGGTGTTACACTTTGGATGGTGGGTACATGTACATGTTGATAGTAGAATGAAACCTTAATTTTGAAAAAGTATAAATAAGTAGTGCTAGCGTCTGGATGGACGTCCGTGCCTGCATTCCACGTCCCCGCCCATGCCAGCATGCCCTCGCCCGCGCCTTCAAACCAGGTGCGGTGACCGCTTGTGCCCCTTCCGCTTCTCACGCACATTGTAACATGTGCAACACTTGATCTACTTTTACAACACCCAGATGAAACACTTGCAATATACGTCTGAAAACAGATAAAACACTTGCAACATACATATGAAACACTTATAAAACACCTGAAAAACATTTGAAAGCCATTGTAAGCATATGCAATGTCCAGATGAAATACTTGAAATATGTGCGTAAAACATATGCAACATCCAGATCAATACACTTGCAACTTACGTCTGAAAAACAGATTATACATTTGAAACAGACCTTTGCAACATACGTGTATAGTCATTGCAACATATGTATATAGTCATTGCAACATCTCGATCTACTTTTGCAACATGCATATGAAACACTTGCAACATACCCCTGAAACATTTAAAACACTTGAAACATATGCTTGTAACATGTCAGGTGTGACACTAGTGGGCGACGACCACCATGTCAGGCGCGTCGAGGAACTTGATAACCGCCTCAATGGGCAGATCGGGGCTTGGAGGCGGCGGAGCGAAAAACACCATGGACTTGGTTGCTGCAAGCTTCTTCCGCTAGGGGCAACGGGGCGCGAGGAGCCTCGAGACGGGCACGAAGTACGGCACGGCCCGCAACACCCTTGCCATCTCCAGTCGTAGGAGGAGGTGATGAGGAGGATGCCGGCACCGGTGCCGGCAATGTGGGCAGGGCGGGCAGCAGGCGCGACTCCAGCGGCGGAGCCTGGCGTCACGGAGGCAGGCAAGAGCCCTGGGGCGGAGGAAGCGGAGGTGGTCGCCGCCGGTGGTGGCAGATGGGGAGCGGAGCTTGCGGCGAGCGTGCGAGGCAGAGTGGGGGATTTTTTTTGGGAGGCGGCGTCTGTCCGTCCAAACGCCTGGACTGTAGTATTACTGTATATTAATTGATCTATACACTTTATGTTTTTTGTTTATTTATATCAATTGAAACGCTACGAGATACAACCCCGAGATGAAAGCGCCTATAGTTCAACTTGGAGGATAAATTAAACCACTCATACATAGGACCATCAACCACGCATTGTCAACGTGTTGAATCCACCCAAAATTACTACGAGCCGTACATGCGACAAGCTATATCACCAGTGCTTGAAATGTCATATACGTAAAGGAATCATATGTACTGTACAAGACGAAAGTATTCAGTGTATCCCAAATATCTTGGAGAAGAGCAACCTGAGTCAACTACCCAATCTAAAAATATAGTGGTTTCTCTAGAGAACTTTACATGTCAAGATATATGATTGAATATCCTTCGTACGACTTCCGTCCAAAAACAGAATGTAATTCTAGTTGTAGGCTAAGTCAAGTTACCTCTGTCCGGTTTTTCTTTATTAATATAAAAGCCCTGAGAGCAAAGCTCCACAGTTCCGGTAAGAAAAAGGTTACCTAAAACTAACAAATATACATGTACGTTGTGATAGAATGTACTTGTATCATTTATTACAATAATACATCTTAAAATCAGACTATGTGCTGTGGCCGTACACGTGCTATTAAGCTCGTAAGAGCATGGGCTAGAGATGAGACGATAAAACAATCGGGACGCTTATCTCTATGATCTAGTTTGGCATAGCTTCTTCAGCATCTTCATGAGCTTATTTTCTCAAACATGTTAATAGAAAATTTGAATTTTCTAATAAAAACGTTAACACATTTTTAAATAAGGAAAGAAGACCATATGAGCCGTGCAACACGTGACAAACGACAAAGGATGTAGCTGGTGGTATCCTCATCGTCCATCCATCCGTGATGGGCATGCCGGCGGGGCATGTGCTCGCCACACACCCCAAATTCTCACCACGCGCCTACCCCCGACGTGGCGACTTGATGTACCGAGCCAGCGAGAGGCAGCCACGACTTTTCCGTCGCTCGCTCGTCCGGTCGTCCCCTCCCAATCCAGCCACCAACCAAGAGAGCCATGGCGTCCCCGTCCTGCGCCGCTGCCGCCGCGTGCCGCCTCGCCGTACCCTCCCCGTCCCCTGCCGCCGCGCGGCCGCCCAGGCCCCGGCGCGGCCTGGTGGCGGTGCGCGCGGCGGGATAAACCCGGCCATCCGGAAGGAGGAGGACAAAGTGGTCGACACCGTCCTCACCGGCGAGCTCGCCAAGCCGCTCAACGCCTACTGCCGGTACGGCTTTCTCACCGGGTTAATTTCCTCTCTCCTGCATGCCAGTATGCTTGCTTGACGCCGATCGAGGGAGGGGCTGGGGGAGTTTGGGAGGGATACGAGCAGAGGATGCTATGTTGTGATTTAGATTAGTAATTTGACCGCGTTCTGATTGCACGGTGGAATTTCTGCTTTTGCTGGGGATGCACCACTTGCAATCTCGCACTCCTGTTCTTTAAAATGCACCTAAACATTTGTGCATGCTAACCTTCATATCGAGGCAACGTGTTCAACTGAACCTCAAACAATGTGTTCCCGTGATAATTCTAACAAGAGGTCAATAGCCAAAAGCCCAAAACTCAAGGGCAGGTCTTCTTGTTAATACTTTGACTCTTTTGAATATAAATAAAAGTGTGCTACTGATCCTAATAGCAGCTTATACATTTCCTTCTCTATAGCCTTGAAGGAGCTTAAAGAAAACTAGCTTTGAGGAGCTTAAAGAAAACCACCTTTCAGAATAAGTATATAGAAACTTCTACCCATAGTACTTCTGATTTGTTATATTAAACTGTCGATGCAACTATGCAAGGTGCCGAGGAGGCGAGGAAGAACTAAGCTAAAGGTAGTAGTTTCCCTGTGACCGAGTAATCTCTCTGCTTCGTGGTCCTCAGAACTCTCTGGAATTTGTTGTGCAAATATCAGAGATGCTGTGCCACAGAGCACAGTAAATTGTATCAGGTAATAAAAAGAATATGGAGCATTTGGCTGGAGTTAAACATCTCTGCAAACGAGCGCAATTGTAGCCATATGAATGATTTATTGAGTTATATACTATATCGAATTATGACCTAACAGCAGATGAACTTGCAGTGACATCATATGCAATGCAATTCGAAATGTTAGCCAATTAGAATATTTGCCAGTGTAAAACAATCCAAACAAAATTCCTGTGCTAGCAGTAGGGTCGGACATAGGAAATTTACACATCCCACAGACACTTTATTTGTCTTAGTGAACTAAGAATGCTCACGATATTACCATTTTCAATATCAAGCATGGGCTTATTTTGATCCCACCTATATGACCTATTTGTACATGTGCATGCATCTGGTACAAATCTGCGTAATTAGAACCCAGTTCATCACAGATACTTTTACACAGATTGATTGAATTTATACTGCATAGTGCAGATGTATGCATGTTCAGAGTTCTGAATGGTTTTAGCCAATTAGAGTACAAATTTCATAATTAATTTTCAGCATTGCATTTATTCACCATTTCAAACTGTTCTGACCTTGATTGCTTTATGATAAGGTGTTGGAGATCAGGAACATTCCCACTGCGATGGAGCCCATGTGAAGCACAACAAAGCAACCGGTGATAATGTGGGCCCCCTGCTCGTTAAGAAGTAGAAGAGGTTTCCTTTGAGTTTTACCCTAGTGTCATGTTGAGCGTCGAGCTGAACACTATCTGTATGTCATGATAAACTACACGACGCATCGATCCTTCAATCAGAATAAAGTAAGCTGCTCATGTTAACAAGACTCGGCTTCATGATTGTGGGAAGCGTTAGTGACAGGTGATACATGTAGTGAGATGTATGAACATCGGGAATTATCTGTGATGAACAATGAAGTCATGAGCTTATGATTTGCCGTGGTCCTTCAGGTATATTGTGGTTCTGTTGGCAGCGAAGTTATTATTCATTGATACAAGCTCTTGATGGTTGCTTTATGATTTTTGAGGTCTAGCCATCTAGGGACATCAATATAACTTAATGTCTGTATCTGCTAGAAGTACCAGTAGTACAATTGTACTACATGTAGATAGATTTTCCGGGCATTTTGTTACGGCAGTTAATGGTGTTTCACTAAAGAACATTTAGGGTGTGTTTGGCTGTTAGGTTGCGTATCTGGCTTGGGCACCGTCGGTCAGGTATCCATCCACGATCGCAGCCCCAGGCTTATGAAATTGGATGTCTGGGAACACTACTTGGGCCAGGCGAGGCGATGCTTGGCAGACGCAATCAAACAACCCCTTACTCTTTTCCATAAGAGAGAATGGGAGGAAGAGTATTGAACCTGTGTTTGGTTCAGCTTATAGAAAGTGTTTCGGTTGCCAAAAGGCAAAACGCTAACCAAATAGGCGAGTCTGAAGCTGTTTTTTTTTTCAGAAACCACTATTTTCGCAGCACCTTAAACCTTGCTTTCAGCTTTCGGTTTATACTTTTCCAAACGGGTGGAAATAGAGTGTTTCACAATTGTTTCAAGAGAGATAAAGAGAGGTGGTAGGTTTTAACCAAACGACTTACAACTTTTCACAACACGGCTAACAACAACTTTTCTATATCTCACAACTCATAACAATTTTTTTATAGCTTAGAGCTGAACCAAACAGACCCTAAGACTTCCTCGTGGTGTTGAAGTTAATTACCATTTCAACCATGAAGGGTAATGTTATTTGCTACTAGTAGCATATATAAAAATTGGGGTCGTTAGGGTGCCAGAGGGACAAGCACAGGATTAGGTAGTGGTAGAGCCAAAAAAATTTAGGAATTCCGATGATTTTTACTATAGAAAAAATTTACCTAGAAAAAAATCGGTGTTCCCCATTGATAAAAAGAAAATTTTCCTTTGCACTCTGTCAATGAGCGCGGCCAACTAGGGTGTGGTTGGGCGCCACTAAGATTAGGCTAATTCTAGTGTACAGTATCTTAGACACTAATGGGTTGCCATGTAGGACTCTGATATATTTGTCCTTTGATATTCCAAGAGTAGAAAATCATGCTCAGATTTTTGGATTCACTCTATTGAGTGACATAGGAAATAACATACAATACAACACACTATAGGAGTTGTTTGTATATCTTTTTCTTACCACTATTCTATTGACATGGTAATGTTGGATATAACACCATGGTATAATATACATATACTGAAAAAAAGATTTATGGCTAGTTTAAATTGGACTCTAGAAAAACTGTCGGGTCTAGACAACGATCTCAGACGTCCATTTTTGATGACCCGAGGTTGGATGGTGTTGCCTAGCCAGACAAGCTGGCCAGACCCCACCAACCAAACATGTCCTAATAAGTAACTAGCCACTGCTGCCCGCGCTTCGCTGCAGGTGATGCGCTTGGTATAGAAAAAATCTTGAGAAATATGACTCATATGTCTAATATGTTTTCTCATCGTGTTGGTATGGAAGATTGGTCTCAATACTATAAACGAACATAGAGGTTGGTTGTCATTACATGATGCCTATTCTAGGCCAGCAAATCAATGACATGTTAGTGGAAAGAAGTATTTGATGGAACTAGGCTCAAGCAACTAACACACTTAGATTTAAAGCACAACATTGGCTAAGATTACATTATAGATGGAAATAGCAAAAACTACAACACAAGTACTTCTCCTAACGTGAGGGTTTACAAAAAAGTGAATTAGGATCCACTCCCCTTAGGCGAAACTACAACACATTTCGTAAATATGAAATTACACGAAAGATTATAGGGTGTCGAACACTAAATTACACTGGGATTTAAAGTTACATGGTTAAGAGCAACCTAGCACAACCAAGGCTTACTCTAGAAGTCGGGATAGACAAGGGCAATGGAGAAACAACAAGATAATGATTATCCAAAATATGGCGTATGACCAACAGATCCAGAAACAGGAGACTGAGAAGTCAAACATCATGAACCCTAAGACCAAACTAACCAACGGTAGACTTGAACTTCTTCGAAAACTAGATCCCTTATTCTTGTATTACACCATCACCTCAGTCAGACGAAATGAGGACCGGATCTCGTAGCTCTGTTTCGGATTCGAGAAGAATGGGGATAAAGAAGAAGAGCAAGGACCAAGGGCATCTTATAGTGGCGAACGAAGATGGGGCGCAGCGCACCGAAAGTGGAGACGATATGGATGGGATACGCTGCTGGTCCACGCTGTGGAGATACAGCCGGCCATGGCGCGCTCCCTGCTCAAGCGAGCGGAGGGGGGTAATAAAGGAGAGGAGAGAGGGTTCGCTCGACGAGGGAGGCGTGCGGTTGGCCGTGTCCCTAAAAAAAGAAAGAAGGGAGGGGGGTCTGGTACGGGGACGAGGGCGAGGATCAAGAGTGGACCGGAGGCCGAGAAAAGGAGAAGCGTACAGTGCACGAGGACAGGGAGTGCGGCATGATGTCGAGGCCATGCGAGGACAGGGTGCTAATGGGCTCGACACCGATAGCGTCCGTGGGCACGCGGTGACAGCGACCCGGCGTGCGTAGCGTGGTCGAGCTGGGCACAGTGTCTGGGACTTGACATCCACTCAGGCTTTTCTAATCATTCCCTACTATCCAAGGCTAACTTTTTCCAGGTGTTCTTCTTTCCTTCCCTTCGTTGTCCACAATATGCGCCAAACTTTGTATGAAGTGAGATCACAACATACATACTTCCTTCGAAACCACCTCCACTTATTTACTTTGAGAGAATACTATTCCATCAACCCGTTGTGGATTTCTCGTTCAAACACCCGAATATTTGTATCAAAAGTGGTATGGCGGTGTAACTTGGTAAAGGTACTTCGTCAACAACCTCGATACCAGCGCATGGCGAGCAGCGCCACCATGTGACAGTTGTTCCATAGGGAGCCCTCGGTTTTGTCATGACACCATAAACTATTAACCAGGCAACTACTACCAACTTCATGGCTGAAAGGCGGTGGGGTCATAGACCACAGAATGAGGGGAGTATTGCAAGGGAAGATTCAAACAACAAGGGTTCCCTTCACAACAAAGGACAATGAATTCAAATCCAGCGACGGATTTGATTTAAAGATATTCAAGTGTTCTACTGGGACATCCACAATTAATCGATACAGCGTCCTATATTATCCAATCACGACTGGTTTGCTGATATCTGGATGGCAACTTCTCTTGTAACCCACCTACCATCGCCTTTGAAAACTCTAAGCACGTTTAACGGGAATTAAGTAGATGGACGCAATAAACACAGGGAAATAAACTAAATGCATATTCCAACGGTCTTATACAGGTACATCATACAAGCATCCAGTCTCCCATTCACGACACAGCATTCACCTTCCCTACGACGGACGATCTCAACAGTACGTACGAAAACAACGGCAAGAGTACAATACCGAAAGACAGCGAAGAACAGCACTACTACTATGGGTACAACATCTCAAGGCAACTAATCTACTTAGAACTACGCATCTTCATTCCCGGGCTTGGCGGATTCTTCAATCGCCTTGGCTATGGATCTGCATCTTCTCTTGGCGATGGCTGAGTGAGAGGAATCAAGGGCTCTACTTCTGACACTTCCGAAGGTGGAGGTGCTGGCGGCACTGCAACACCGGTCCTCCTTCTTTTAGGCTGGTGGGCAGGGATCCCTTCCAAGATCGGGGCATCCTGCCTTTCAGCAGCCAGCGTCCTCTGCTTGGCCCTGGTGATAAGATAGGCCTCCCACAGCTGATGGACATGCCGATCTTCAGCCTCCTTCAGAGCTTCGGACATGGTAGTCTCCTGGCTCTCAGCAGTTGCAGCACTGGCATGCGCCTCGGCAAGCTGCACCTAGAGGATTTGGGTGAAGATCTCAGCTTCCTCTGCCCGCTCGGAGGCATATCCTTAGTTCTAAGGCTTGCCGATCATACTGCTCATCCAGGGCAAGAAGGTACGCGGTCAAATGCACCATGGTAGGACTATCCTCTTGCGCATCCTGCCCTTGCAAAGCCTCCATGCGAGCCCTCCATGCCCTCTGATTCCTGTCCAAAGGTGAAAAGAACCGCATGGGGGTACCAGCAATGGGCTCCTCATAGATCTAGCAGAGGTACCGCAAGGCTTTGCGGGCCACAACCTGGTAGGTGTCGATAAAGCTAAACCCGGTTGCGGTCACACTCCAGGCTCCAGTGAGGTCGGGGAACTCCTCACTCTTCCCAATGTAGACGGTAACCTCACACCGCTCGGTGCCTTGCTCCTCATACTCACGGCCCTCATACTCAGGATGATCTTTGACTCTGAGCTTTTGTAGGGTGGCATGCAGGATTCTAGGAAAACCCTCAACGTTCAGGCAGTAACTACTAACCCAGGCTCCTACCATTTCTGGTGGTGGTTGTGAGGAAGGCTGAGCAAAAAGATGGCTCAAAGGAAAAGCTAAGCGAGCTAAAGTGCGCCGAGTGGTGGTACCAATGGCTAAGCCAGGCTCTGCTTATAAAGGCGGAGCGGTCTATGGTCCTAACGAGGTTCACTAGGGTTCCTGCGTGGGATCACTATGAATGAATCGATCAAATTCTGCGCGTTCGAGGCGAGCGACGTGTGATGCCATTACTGAGTAGTACGACTGCGGGGCAAGGGTCCGACAAGAGCGCAGAAAAGGGGTA